CTGATGCATGATAATTCATCATAATTCGTCATTATTATCAACTATAATAATATTCTTAATAATAGTAAGTAATATCTATATTAATAAAGATATGAGAACCATAACACTATTATACAGCATTTTCGAATCTATAATTTTGACATAAAGCATAACAAATTTAATGTCTTTTTTTGTCTCTACCATACTGACTATAATAAAATTAGTGTACATTTTTTAGAAGATTGACATAACTCACTTCACACATAAATATTTTTCAAAAAATTGCTCATCTCCGTAAATATAAATAATAATATGTGAATGGTTCGCATCGACATTTGGTGCGGTCCATACAGTAATAATGGTTCGATCACAACTGCAGCATTTTTATTATTATTCGTCAACAGGTAATACTTATGCAGTTATGCGTTTAATTTACCTATATTATTACATTTTTGGAATTTTTAATGCTGCAATCGATTACAGAATTATAAATAATTATAAAATAATATTATGACACATAAAACACACTAATCTTAATACAGTGCGATTGCTGATTTTCGAAAAATGCTCACCCATTTTTTTCTTATTTAACAATAAATTAATTTAAATTATGATTTATGTACTGACACCATATTTTTATTATTGAAATTCTTTATACTACTTAAGAAATGTTCTGTGGTGATACAATTATACGAACTTCTGTTACCTAACCTTGTAAATGTTGACGAATCAAAATAAAAAATGGAACAAGAAAATTTTCAGTAATTAAAATATGTATACTAAGGAAACACAATAATAATTTAAAATGATTTTAAAAATTAATAAAATAGTTGAAATATTGGATTTAGCACCAATTTATTATACTTAGACCATTTTTACATATTTAAAATATTGATAGGTTAATATTTTGAATACTTTCACTATTTTTGGAAAGTTATTCGCTGAATAATTTGTTGTAAAATAGGCAGGTTGTCGTTTGAAGAAAAAACAGTAATTATATACCTACAAGGCACTAGGTACTTAAGGAGTCCAAAAAAATTTCAACAATTTAAATCTACGGTCTTCAAATATATTTAAAAATTTCATAATCATTAATCACGTATTGAATAACTGAATTATCGAAACAGAAAAAAGAGGGTGAGTTTACTTGGTAGATCGCTTTCTACGTCATAATTATTAATTTAAATCGATGCGTCTGCAGCTATGATAAGAGGCGTAAGCATAATATAAGACTCATCGTATTTAAAATGTATGATAAATAATGTTTATCAAATTTTATTTTCCAACTCGCTATCCATGTCAGTTTTGTGTTATCGTATAACAACTGCACCGTCATGGGGGACACCATGATAATTCTGGCTCATTCTATACGTATCTAAAATATATTACTAAACGCGGCGGCATAACAGATCGTACCGTCCTCGGGTATCGGTTGACGGTCATAAAAAGTTTGTCGGGTGATCGGCGTTGCTAGTTGCAGTGCTGAGTCGAATCGGGTTGGCGGCTGACCGGAGTACTGTTGTAGCAACAGCGCTGGATCGGCGCTTCGCAGGCCGAGCCGCCTGAGGGGCCCGGAGGGCGGGGGTCGGCCCCAGAACGGTTCGACGCGCATACTCCCGCCGGCCACCGTCCTCAGCAAAAGTTCGGCATACTCTGACCGGACGTCGAGATCGCCACACCCGTCCAACTTGTCCAACCACGCGTCCACTGTGGTCCGGTCAACAGCTGCCAACTGCGTGTGCGCCAACACCCGCACCGTTCCCCGGTCGCGTGCGTACGTTTCATCGGCCACCCGGATTTCGGTCGCTTGTCCGTTGTCACTTAGCGTAGCGGTCCGCCGCCACTGTGGTCTCCGCGCCGAAAATTCGTCTTCCGCTTTCGGTCCGTCAGCAGTCTCGAAGGCGGCGGCGGCGGAGACGGCGTATTGCAGCGTATCCGCTACGTCCCAAGTGTGCTCTTCGTTCTCATTATCCGGCCCATAGACTTCCGAAAAAGACTTCTCCGTCGATCCACGAGGCCTTCCGCTACTGCCACCACCGAGTTCCGAGGATATCCTACTCTTCTCACTCGTCATCGAAAACTTATGAACAATATATGGCTGCACTCTTGTATATTTGTTTTATACGTTAATCGCAATGGGGTCTGATCACTGCTTTCGACGTACGACCGACGACGTTAAGAACCTATTGTGCGCGCTAACAATTAAGTCAATACACGCATACAATGATATGACATATTGCACTGTGTCTGTGGCCTGTGCTCTTTATATGGGGCCCGAGAATCTGTATACTGTTTACAGTATGATTACAGAACAATATTATGAGTTATGACGTTAAACTAACTTTTATCATTGTTATGGCGACAAACATAGTAGCGATCTACCGAACAGAAAATATTTCAAAACCACCTCATTCATGCAAAATCCAATAAATTGATTAATCTCGTTTTTTCGTCTAAATGGTATAATATATATTATATACCAGATAAAAACGATTCACTACATTATAGATATATCGATTTAAATTGTTTATACTGTCCTAAAATTAGCAGGAACTTACTTAAAATATCGTTTAGAAGAAGAAATGTTTTTAACTGATAAAATTTTAGTATAATTGGAAGTGGGAACTAACAACTGATTGTGAAACATAGTCGGGCATCGAGGGAGGGCTTAGAAAGTGTAAAATAATATTTTACCAACAAATGCTGTTAATAGATGTTTATAAGCATATTATTATTGTATTAAACATATTTGAATTCCAGATGAATAACATTCGATAACATTTATTATCGTACTAAATATAATGGCATTTGTGTAATAATGCTAGTTGTACATTTTTACATGCTATTATTCATCTCTTTATCGCAAAACGTATACTGTATACCTATGTACATTGCACATATATATAAAATACATTATAATAATGATTATTGTCCATTTGTACCTACATAACGTTATCAAACCAATATTTAAGAGTTTTGTCAGAAAATTAAATAGTATTCCCTAATTTGCAAAAACTATTGACAATAGCATTGAAAATTCCAATTAATTTGGCTACTTACGAAAGAAGTTTTAGTGCAATGAAAAAAATAAAAACTTGGCTAAAGACATCGATACTTTAGAATAGGTTCAGCGATCTTTCTATATAATATATTAAAAAAAGATTTGTCCAAAAATATTAATAACGACAATATTTTAAATATCTTTGTCGATATAAATAGATATTTTTTATTAAAATAAAATTAATTATTAATTATTTTTAAATTTATGTTATTTAGTGTTTTTTATTACTTATATATATATTCATATATTTTATTAGTAATATGTCGTATTAGTATATAGAAAGGGAGTGCAGAGGCGAAGTATCTGCAGGTCACTTTACATTGAATTATAATAGCCCCCTAAAAATTCAACAAAATGTCCGCCAATGTTGTGAAAATTATAGTGCCTTTGCGAGACGCTATATAGCAGTGGTCACCGGTTAGGTTATTCCGGTACTTGATTTGTACTTTCTTATGCAGCTACTTATTGTAGATCACGTCTCGGAGCTTCAATAGCCGCCGCGGGAGTACCCTCATAACACCCGCAGCACTTTTTTTGGCTGGACTGAGCGAACAGCAGCATCAGCATGTAATTGGTATCGGATAAACCACCGGTGCATTGTAACAAGATACTTCATATTTTTGATATTCAAGTATCATGTGTCAATATCAGTAGTATATCCTGGATTTTTATTTGGGAAGGGGGAGAATAAATAAATAGGAGTGGCTTAATTAGGATCTATCATAAGTTTGATATGATGATGCCGTGGATACATATATTCAAATAAACTGTATTATATTTTTAATACATATTTATGTATTATGTAATATACCTTCATACGACAATAAAAATTTTTTTAAATTTCCTGATCTTTTGTGATCAACTTATATGTTTACTATATCACTGCACACTTAATAATTTTTTATTAAGCATTGTAAGTCGTACTGAATACAATTTTAGTTGCTTTTGGATAAATATTCAAAATGTATTGTCAAATTTAGAAATTAAACACGGTTTCAATAGACTTAGATTCTATATCTACATCGGCAGACGTGAAAAATTATGTGATTGAGCCAGTCCAACCCTGCCTGTAAGATAAAATCCAAGTATTTTTTTGCAAGAAAAATTATCTTCAAACACAAGAAAACACATGATTGTAAATCAATGCACTTGTCACTTTGAACACACTAAAAATTAAATTTGGAATGGTATACCTTGTTAATCACTCAGTATAATACGATCGTGAATATCACAATTGTTATGTCACTACCAGAAGAATGCGATACAAACGTTAAATATAATAATCGAATGTGAATATATAAATCATGAAATATGATAACAATCGTTATGAACGCTTAAAATCAAATATATTGTTTAGAAAATATATTCAATAAATGGTTTAAAAGTTTTTAAACAATTGAAATTATTTTAACAGGAAACAAGCTGTATAAAAATAAAATAGTTTTTTTTTTAATTCCAGTTTTTATTTGTAAATTTGAATATTGATGTTAAAATAGTAATTACTATTTATATTTTATCACCGTCCTAGCTATTAAAAAATTGTCACATAACTAAAATGTGTTTATCCCTCCCAATTAAATAATATTGTGATAACCTAATTTCTAATAAATCATTTTTTTTTAATTTTAATCAATTAAAGTTTGAAATTTAAATGAATAACTAATTTTACTTCCTTTATGAATAAAAGAGAAATAATCGACCTTGGTCGTAATATTTTATTTTGTTATTTTTTTACTGATTAGGTGGACGAAAGACCTTGAAAAAAGTACTATGTATACTTCCCGTCTTGTACTCTATCACAAACGGTAGGACCAGTATATTTTTAACAGTAATATTTACTGTGAAATAAAAAATAAAAACAAAATAAAACTAAGAATGAAATAAATATATTTATTACTATCAAGTATATCAATATATAATGCATATAAATTATAAATTATAATTGGTAACATATATTACATTGATTACAATACTAATGATAGTAAACTTTCTTTATCTCTTTGCAAGAGCTTACATATTTAATAATAATAAAACAATATAATTATAATATAATTTAGTATACCTATCGCGCTTGTGAGTAAACAATACATAGCACATGAAAAATATAATATATTAAAAATCTATATCAGGAACTAACAACGAATAATTACAAATCGGAACCCAGCCGTTCAATTTCGTTCACGAAATAATCCATATCAGCTTGGTCTAATGAAGAGTTTTGAAGCACAAGTCTGAAGAAATTCGGCAAATCATCGACCGGCTGGTACGTGATCATCATCGTTCCTTCCTTCATCATTCTCTCTTTAATTTTTGGCGCCACCTGTAATCACCAACGAAATACGTAGGTACAGTGTGTTTGTGCTTATAGATTATATAATATTTGTAAGTAAAATTAATACTGTTTAAAAAAACCGAAAAACTGATCCATTCTATATCTTTTGCTTCATAACATACATACCTTATGTAGTTTATTTTTAAAATCCGGTTCGTTCTGACATCCACGCAGGCTCGGTGGTATGTACCAAAACGTTATATTCGTGTACTCTGGTTCTTCTAATACCAATTTGAAACCTGGTCTGTTCCGTATCATCTCGGTGAAATACTTTGCGTTATCAAAGTTTTCGTCAACGTGCGCTTCTAGTCCATCTGTTCCCTATATGGTGAAAAAGGGAAAAATAGATAAATATTTTCAAATCACTATTATTAATGTAAGTAGTAGAGCGATTTTTTGTGTGGATATCCAAATCCGATCGCCAAATGTTAGAACTTACTTTGGCTTTCCACATGAACCAAAATTTGAACACATCCGCACGACGGCCGCACTGTATGTGTTTATCACCCGTATCGTACGTCGTGTCATAGAACTTGTCTTTTTGGAATAGATATTGAGCGCAAGAAGAATTACTTTCAGTTAGCACACTTTTGTGTTTAGTTAAAAACGTTGAACACTGTTGTGGTGCAGTAAGCATTTTATGAGGGTTCCAGGTAACTGAATCGGCTCTGTGGAATAAGAAATAACAATTAATTATTCGATTTAATTTCAACAACATTTATGATGTATTTGTTTATTCTTATTTTATTCTAGATACCTGTCGATTCCGGTCAACAGGTGCTTGTGTTTTTTAGACATTAAAGCTCCGCCTCCCCAAGCCGCGTCAACGTGTAACCATATTCCGTATTCATGGCATACGTCAGCAATTTCCGCTATCGGATCAAACGCCCCCAGGACTGTTGTACCTGAAATTTTTCATTCGTAACATCTATTATAATTTGTTATTCCTCATTACTGAGAAAGTATATAACTCGACGTCAATAGTCACCGAACAATATTAATTATTTCTCGGTACAAATAATGAACGGGATTTTCACAATGATAGCCTATTAATTACTATTATTAACAAATTTATACTAATAGGTTTGAGATCTTTGGTTAACCATTACTTTCACTTTTTTTTCAATAAATGGTTTTATTCCAAGTAAAATTATACATTAGACTACAAAACTTTAAAACTCAATAAAGCGTTTACAATTAAAATTGTTTTTAGTTTCTAAACCTTATATGTTAATACTATTAACGTTTTCACTCTAATATACCTAATTGATTATTCATTATAATAATAACATATTATTTTATTAATTTAAAATTAAATCGTTTAAAAATGATAGGCTCATTATTGCGATGTTATACACAAGCTTAGTTATAAAATTATTTTGAAATTGTGTGACTATTATTATTTTGATTTCCTATAATATATTTAAATATTATACAAGTTGTGAAATTACAACATACCTATAACCTATGTTTATATTTATTTAATGTACTTAGATACCTAGGTGTAATAATTTAATAACTTCAAACTTACTGGTACAGTGATACTACCTACAATCAGTAAAAAATTAAACTCTCTGAACTTTACCTGCAGTAGCAGACACCATAATAGGAACTGCCTTTTCTTCTAAGGTTCGTTGAATTTGCTGTCGTAAATGACTCACATCCATTTTTCCCTTTGCGTCTGTGTTGATTAAATACAAATTATCCGAACCGATTCCCTCGAATGCACATAATTTTTTGATAGAATAATGCGCATCAACTGACGTATACACTACTAACCTTGGCAATCCATGCATCCCTTTTGTCTATTAACATATATTTATATACATTTAATGATTTAAACATTTGACAATATTTTAACAAAATATATTATTTTTTTTTTGCTTTGATAAATGATTAAAAATTATGTTTAAAATTATATTTTAGTGTTTTTTATTATATTGCTCTTTAATATAAACATATCCATAAATAAAATCATACATATTGACAACGAGGATTTTTATTATCCAACCGTCGTCATATACAAATCAAAAAGCAATAATATGACTTATATAAGTAATTATGTGTTACACAAGAATAATTTCGAATCTATTTATAGTGTCGTACAACATTCAATATTACTTGGTTATCTTATATTATGTCAGTATAAGCATTTAACATATTATAGATGTATAATATAAGAAGAGGTTATAATATGTTGTCTTTGAAAAGCGTTTACTGTATAATAACATAGTAACATTCCTAACTTATATTTTAACCTACCTTGACCTCGGGAAAAGCGGAAAATCTGGCACAGTTGATTGCATAGCCATTGGCTATCGAACCACCCGGACAAAATATACCATCGCCCTTGCCATCGGGGTATCCCAAAAACTTCCTCATTTCCGTCAACACCGTTTCCTCCATGATGGTCATGACAGGCGCTACTTCAAACGTATACACGCTTGGGTTGAGTGCGTCGGTTAGCCACTGGCCGATCAAACCGTAAGGGTCGACGCTACAAACAGTAAAATGCATATTAAGTATATTTACACGAATAGTCAGCCTATCCACGATCGAGTACATACAAAAAATTATACCTAGATTAAATTATTTTTATAAGCTTTTTGGGGGAAGGAGGGGACTGTAAACTGAGATTTTGAAATTTTTTAATAGCAAAATAAGGGATAGGGACAAGTTTATAACACTTTTAATTTATATGAATGTTTCAAAATAACATAATAAGACCAACTTAATATTTCTAAATTTTCTGAATATACCTACCAACCTATGTAAAATAAAGATTCATTAATAATTGATTCTACATCATAGTATTGAATTTCAAATAAATTGTATATTTGTACGTGTACTCACCTGGAGAATAGTTGATTGATGAAATACGGATGTCCGGTCTTGACGCTATGTTCTATGGTGTCCTCGAGCAAGTGCAACAAGTGACCATGGGTGGTGGGCGAACGGTCCAGGGTGAAGTCGAATGCGGCCTGCAGCTCTTCCGGGCTCTTCCAGTTAAGTACAGGATTCCGGCGTTCTGTTCCCCGGAATACCGCCTGCTCAAGCATCAGCCGCACCGCGTCCCGGATGAACGCCTCATGGTCCGCTGCGTTCGGCGCACTCCGGTATCCGCACACCGCGGCCGATAGAGACTGCAGCGACGGACCTTTGCCGCCGGACGTCTCGTCCTGGACAACCTGTACCCCAGACGCGGTCACCATTAACTCAACCGGGCGCGTAATCGCGTAATCTTTGGGAACCGATGCGACTGGCATGACAATAGGCATGACGATGTTTATAATAATATAATATGTTGTGCGATAAAATAATACTGTAAAATAAAAGTATTATTTTGGTATTTTCAATGTATGAGTTGTCGATGATCACATAACATAAAAAATAATGATAATAATATTATTTTTTGTATAGGTACCTTTTTTCCGACTACGGTCGACCGAAAAACGATCGCTTCTGAATACGTCGTTAAATGCTGCTGTTATGCTGCTGCAATTGCACGCTGCAAACACTCTGCGGATAAAGTGCCGTCGTGTCGGTATGAGTAAGACTATACTGAACCGGCGCACGGCCAACGGCGGCGTTTTTATACGATCCGCGCACCAGTGAAGGTTAATAAACGAGCACGGTGAGTTTGATTTTGAAAATCTCTTCCCCGCCTGCTCCTGATGGTAGTATGTGTTAACTAATATATAACAACATCATTCACCTAATCATAATAATAATATAATAGGTTTAATCAAAACTAATTAAGGCGGATGGTGGTGCAGAACAGATCTATAATTGCGCGGTCGTTTAGATTCTATCCGTGGTTTTTATTTTTACCACACTATCATAATATTATAATAGGTATGCAGGAGCCAGGAGGTATCTATATAATATTAATTGTTATATCATTCTATTTTTTCTCTGCTAATATTGCGCATCGTAGATCGCAATTTCCAACCACCAATAGCGAGGTCCGAGTTAGGTACGCATGTTACATACTATAAAATACGTACTTATCATTGAATGAGTTTAAAAACTTTACGGAATGACTTAAGTTATGCCACGAAATTTATCACGAGTCGATGTGTAAATGTGGTTAAATCCAAGTATGAATGACGTCGAATCAACAATGCGATAGGTCAACCGTGGTAAATCTTGTATTTTGTATATATAAACTTAAAATCCTAAATATGTGACAAATGGATTTGTAGTTACGGTATCTAGTTTGAATGATTACTGGGTGGTTTTAAGCGATCGCTTCGTGTAAATGTGTAAACCACTTTTATTTATATATTTAGATATACTATTATTGTACAATAGTACAACAGCAAGACTTAAAAGTAATGGTAAGTCAACAGACAACAGGTCGTGTTGCAGTGGCAAATATATCAGATTTCGTGATATAGATAGTTATATAATTTTATTAGTGCGGATTTCTTATGTTACTATGCACTGAGGTATATAAGTTTATATATATATATATATATTAGTACCTATGAACTAATAGTGATTTTTGTTATACCCTTTTTAATTGTCACCATAAGACATACTAATATTATTATCTGGTATAATAAATTACCGACCGGCTATTTAGACAATATATAGGTAGTAGATACTCTCCACGCCGTCGTGTATGTATAACACCGTCCTTGTACCAAACCCAGCGGTAGATTTATTACAAGTATATTATATATTACATATTATAGTGGACGTAGTAGTAATAATTGCAGTAATGGAAAATATCAATACATATTAAGAGTAGCATTGTTGTATTATACAGTATACTGTATATCGTTAGAGAATCCAGCGAATGTGGGACATTTACTTTTGATGCCGTCTTGGCAATCTGACCCTCGGTCTTAATAATTAGCCTACATGCCCGCAGCCTTCCTACAATGATTTTCAATTCAAAGAAGACAGGTTTTTACACGGTTTTAATATACTTGCGTCAAAATTAATTATTTATTTCACAGAAACGTATGTCAAGAAAAAAAATAAAACAGAACGTGTTATAAAAAATATGAGTAGGTACATGAACTGCGGTGTATTGTTATTTGTTCTATGATAACACATGCGAGAATGTGATGTGGATAGAAAACTAATCGTTAGTATGTACAATTCTTTGATGACTCTGTCAAGAGTCCGATAATTAATTAATACACTCGGAATACAATATTGTTTATCAATATTATGTTAACTCACGTATTTTGTAATGCCACAGTATAACACTATTATAGGCATGACATAGTGTTCATCAATGTTTACATATTGCAAACCTGCAATGTCATATCGTATAGCACAATTTATTAATGTGTATAGGTTAATTATATTCTTACTAAATTTTGATTTTATTGACATTATCAAGGACATTATAAATTTTTTAATCATCTAGTTTTAATTTACTGGTGTTTCAATTTTAAATATTAAATTAGTCTAGCAAGGTAAAATAAATGTAAATATTTCGAAAAATAATAAACTCAACATACAAAATGTATACACTCTATTTACTATGTAAGTAAACTATTCAATTGATGAATAAAATAATAAAAAATATAATTCACAAGTTCAAACTAAAGTAAATTAATTTATAATTAGCAGTCGCTCGTCGTACTTAAGCCAAGTAAAAATCGCAGGTCAAGGATGTTCACAATGGTGCTGGAGATTTATCTAGTATAAATAATATATATTCAAAATTCAAAATGTGTATAAATATAAAAATTCAAGGTTCAAATATTTTTAAATTTTTGCATTTCTTTTCAATTACATGATTTTTGATTAAATTATAAAAATCAGTTTTGAAAATACATTTATGTGTAGTCTTATTTAAAATTATATTTATTATACATGAATACTAACATTCAACTTAGTATAAAGTAGCTATATTTAAAGATACCTATCTAAGAAGTAAACAGTTGAGGATCAGGTATAATGTCTAAGAAAAAATTGGAATCGCAATTCCCATGTGATTCCATATATCACTTAATTTGCCTTAGTCCTTGACCGAAATTTATTATGATACATAACATATTATTTTAATTTTGGTAGGTCACTCAAATAACTGAAGTATAAAAATAATATGTATTGTATTTTGCATTTAATTTACAATTCTGTAACTCTTTTCTAAGTTCAATGTTTTATTGTGTTTAACATTTTTGCGGTTTTAACAATTTTTTTTTTTCAAAAATGTATTAAAAATATTTTCATTAAGACATTCGTCTAATTTTTATTTCATCCTGCCAACCTTGTTTAAAACACATTTTTTAGCAATTTATATTTAGGAAGCTAAAAAAAGTATTTAAAAAAATGTATGTATACCAATAAACTGATTTTTTGCTTCATCCTCAACAACAAAAATAGATAAAAAGATTTTAAAAAAATTATACATAGAGTATATATTTTAAAATTGTATGTACTTTACATATCGATTCATATTTATTTAACATATTTTGGATAACTTAGTTTTATTTCTGGTAAAGTCAACCTTGGAAACGAAGGTTATAAAATTGATTTCTGGCTTTAAATTGTTTATTTTTCTATAAGCAACTTTCGCATCAATTCTAATTTGAAAAAAAATATTTAAATATTTAAAATAAAACAATTGGTATTTTTCTTCTATTTTATTTATTTTTTTATAAAATCTTGGAATATAAAATAAATGTTCTATTTTCCATTACACAATAAATTAATAGTTATTTATATTTTTATCATTATCAGTAATATCCATTATTAGAGTTAAATAATTTTGTTATTGATAAGATTATATTTAAAAATTGTATAAGCATGTTCTTAATTCCAATGGATTATACTATTTGACTTATTTGAGCAATACATATTATTCCCAATGTTTATATTTAATTTAAGTAAAGCTTAAATAATTGTTATTAATGCAATAGTCATGTATTTTCGAACTAGTAAGTTAAGTTAAAATATTTTAAAATACCATATAAATTATCAGAGATCAGAAATCAAACAACCGGTTTTAAAACTTCAGTGGTATAAATAATATTATGAATTGATATAGCTACAATATTTATTAGCTATATTATTTATACCTGAAAATACTTGAATAGGTACATTGTATAATAATATTATAATATAGGTACTATTAACTATTCAATTCTAATTACTCATTCAGTCAGCTATATAAATGTATTTATTACTTACATGTAGTAAACCTATCTATAGTAAAATTTCCCAATTTCCATACAATTAAGCATATAGCTATGTACTTAGCAATTTATTTTACATTTTAAAATTATTTATTAGAAACTATTAATAATTTTGCAATAAAGTTTTGAAACCTTATAGTTTCAAAAAATAAAAAAGTTAACATTTTACTTGCTTATCATAAATTATTGTTGTATCTGCTAATTGATCATATACATAACACAGATTATTGAATGTCGAAGTTTTTTTTTCAAGAAATTTTCTGACCATACTGATTATATAAGTATACCTACATTCTATAAAAATTAAATTATTAAAAAAAAAACTACTTAATTAATAGTTTTGTTTTTAGATTTAAATTTATTTTGAACATAAAGATTAAATACAAAAAATACAACTATTCTTTAATTAGCGTTATTGTGCATAAGATAGAGGGTGTCAATATAACCAATTCCCTTTTCATTATTTTATATTTACATAAACAACAAAAATAAATAAATTCAAAAAAATATATATTTATGCTATACAAACCGTAAAACAAAACATATACAACAAATATATTTTATAATTACTTATAAAATACATTATATTATTATTTGTTTTATCGTTATTAATTTTTCGAGGAGATAATGTGTTCTGAACAATTATTTATGTGGGGAGGGACAACATTTAAAAGTGAACGTTTTAATTACCTTATAATAATAATTTACATAAATGATGCTAATAGCAGAACCGTTGAACATTTTATGATAAATTATCATATAAATGAATATGTATTTTATAGTTAGTTAAATCAAAATGAAAATTGTGAATGTTTTGTGAAAACACAAAGGTAATTTGAACTTAAAAAATCTCAGTATGATTAAAAAAATATAAGCAAAATTTAATGAAAATGGAAAAAAAAATTTTCTGGACTATTTAGTGAATGGCACTGATATAACGTTATACTAGGTATATATTATATAATAATATACATTATATTGTGGATAGTATGAGATATGTAAACAAATACAAATTATATGATTTAATAAAATTAAATAAATTATCATAAAATACCTAATATTTTGTGTTATCTGTGAAATATAAAAGCAAATAATTATTAATTCGTATATATTAAATATAACTATAATACTATCAACTACTAAGCTTATTATAAATCTATTATAATTTTTATATATTATTATATTAATATTATTAATAGATGTACTTTCAAAAAATTATCTTTTTATTTAAGAATTTTACATTATTAAACTCGATTATAAATATTAGTACCATATAATATGCTATGTAGATACTCATGCATAATATATTATTATTATGTTAAAAAGATAACAAATAGGTAGTTTGATAAGTTAGGACTAAATTTTATGTCGGTATATATACTATGTTATGCATGCAAATTATTTAATTT